TGGTGTCACAGCTCACAGCAACCTCCAACTCTTGGGCTCAAGCAATTCTCTTGCCTCAGCCTCCTAAGTAGCTGGGACTACCGGCACCTGCCACAACGCCTGGCTATTTTTTTAGAGACAGGGGTCTCACTCTTGCTCAGGCTGGTTTCAAACTCCCTGAGCTCAGGCAATCCACCTCTCTGGGCCTCCTATAGTGCTAAGATTACAGGCATGAGCCACCACGCCTGGCTATGTTTTTTCTTATAAGGACACCAGTCATTGGATTGAGGGCCCACCGGAATCCAGGATGACCTCACCTTAAGATTCTTAATGTCATCCACAAAGACCCTATTTCCAAATAAAGTCACTTTCATACGTTCTGGGGCGAGCACTTGGACAACCCACTACTCACAGTGAGACGAACATCCAGCCAGCTTTTCTAGGGAAAAGCCAGAGTGACCAACCACCCCCGTTTGCTTGGGACTGAGGAGCGTTTTCCCAGGGTGTGGGGCTTTCAGTGAGCACAGTGAAGCTCTGCATGGACAGAACGTCTGGTACATGGTGCGTCCAGGTCACAGGGGAACCAGCACAGTGGCCAAGTTGGCTTGGACTGTCCTGCTCTGTCTCTTTCTGCAGTAAAGATGAATCTGCCTTCATGGTGGAGGTCCTGACAGCACAAGGAGTGGCAGTGGTGATTGTGGGTTATGACATTGCTCCCAGAGGTAACCAGGCAGTGGCTGCATGTTCGGGGGCTGGTGGGCTTTGACGGGGAGACAGCCCCCAAGCCAGCTGAGTTCTCTGTGCAGGCACCCTGGACCAGATGGTAGATCAGGTGACACGGAGTGTGGCGTTTGTGCAGAGGCAGCATCCAAGAAATGAGTGGGTGTTGCTGCAGACCTCCTGCTTGTTGGACCATGCTGGGTGGGAGGACGATGCCCAGTGGACACAGCCATGCTGCCCCTCTGGCCTAGAGAGCAGAAGGAAAATTGGGACTCCTTGATACTGGGTGGGAAACTTAATGCAAATTCATCCCTCTGCACTGACCCATTCCCAGGGGAATTTACCTGTGTGGACACTCAGCTGGGGCCCACCTGACTGCCATGATGCTCCTGGCCAACTGGACCAAGTTTGGAGTCACACCCAACCTCAAAGGTTTTCATGGGGACTGCAGCCTGGCTGGGCAGCCTTCACCTTCCCCACTGGGCCTGAGGGTTGGGACCAGCTGTTCCAAATCCTAACAGCTGTGAGCCCTGTGAGCAGGGCCTTCTCTGCTTCCCCCCATCCCTCCGCTGGGCCTGCCCCTCTAGCCTGGAGGGTGAGCAGCCTTCCTCACTCCCCTGCACGTGGCCTTCTCTTCTCAGGCTTCTTCCTGCTGAGTGGGATCTACGACCTGGAGCCCATCGTGTTTACCTCGAATAATGCCCTTCTGCACTTAACACTGTGAGTCCCTTGTCCACCCCCAGCCCCAGCTCACCTAGATCCTGGCTTCCTCCTGCCCATGCTCCCTCCTCACTCCACACTAGGGAGGATGCCCAGAGGAACAGCCCCCAGCTGCTGGTGGCTCTGACACAGCCGGCAGACCCTACCTGCCACGTGCAGGTGATCGTGGGCCAGCATGACTCCCCGGAGTTCCAGCGCCAGTCCAGGGAGTTTTATCAGGTATTCCCAGCATGCAGTTTGCCACCAGAGGTCAAGAGCATGTGATCTTCTCATTATCTGCCTCTTGCTTTCACCCAAATGGGCCCTAAGACTATCAGGCACTCATTCAGCAGATAATTACTGAGCTCCTTTTTTTTTTCAGTTTTGGCCGGGGCTGGGTTTGAACCTGCCACCCCTGGTATATGGGGCCAGCATCCTACTCCTTGAGCCACAGGCGCTGCCCACTTACTGAGCTCCTGCGACACACCAGGCATGGTCAGGAGCGTCTGCAGACTCATGCCTCCTCTTCCCACATTTCTCCTGCCCAGGCCCTGTGCCGAGGAGGGTGGAAAGCCTCTTTTGAAGAACTCTACAATGTGGACCACTTTGAAATCATCGAGAATCTGACCCAGAAGGATGATGTGCTCACGCAGGTGAGGCCTCGTCCCTTCCCAGATGACTGGCAGCCCCCTTCACTGTGGACAGCAGGGCTCAGGTCTGTCCCTTGAGCAGGGGTGGGCAGGCGGGCCTACTTAGCCGAGCCACCTTCAATGGTTCTTTTTTTTTTTGAGACAGAGCCTCAAGCTGTCCCCTTGGGTAGAGTGCTGTGGCATCACAGCTCACAGCAACCTCCAACTCC